TGCTATTAAAAGTATATGGATGTTATCATTTTTATTTAACAAGAATGTATACAACTTGATATTTTTGATACAGTGTTTAGAGTATCAAGATAAAGTTCTAGTGTTTATAAGTATAAACAAGATGAGGTGATATATGTTAAATTTAGAAAAAATGAATTGATGAATTGTAAAATGTATTCTTACTTATATCAAAATTACTAAGTATAATGCACAATTGTTTGATGATTTATTAAAGAAGCGGCTAGTTATCACTCACTTTGGGCTAATTAGTCACCTTCGTTTTACTCCTTGCATCAAACATGGCAGATGTGAGCCACGTCAAAGTCACGGCTCCGTGGAATTTGTCGTGACTTGTCGGATGTGTTGATTATGACTATCCACAGTTTGGTGGAGGCGGGGATGATCAGGTGCGGTAGTTCCAGGATGCAACAAGATTGTTTAGGCTGGAAATCCTGGGCACTTCTTAGTCAGTGCATAGAGCTGGACTGGACTAGCCTTCCAGCTTTCAAAGATACTTTTACTTTAAGAATTGTAAGAGCATAAACTTCAGAAACTGTAAGAACATATACCATGGCAGTAACACCTTGTGGGATTTTAGAATCAGACATGTCATCATTGAACTTAGTGAACGTGACATTGGTCCAAATATACATAGGTGTGTGTGTGCTGCGGTCCTACTAGACAAATATTGCACACGAAGTCCAAGGTCTTGACGACAAAGTAACGACAGACGAGCTCCGTGGCAACTATCAACACATGTGTGCGAGTGAACAAGTGTGCTAAGCTACATTCGTGAAGAATAGATGCACTGTGGATAGTCATAATCAACACACACAAGTCGCATGAAATGTCATGGAGGCGTGACCTTGACGTGACTCACGCTTGCCACGTTTGACGCAGAAAGGAACACGAAGGTGTAGTAGCCATGTTAGAAGAATCATAAATTCAACACCACTGGCAAATATAAGTTTTGATCAATTCTAGTATACCGTATACTAGGATGAGGGATGATTAGTACAAAGAAAGAATAACTAGGCCCTATCTTTATTAAACACTATTAAATGTTCAAAAATTTGATATTGTTTTAAAAATCCATTGGTATCAAGATAAATCACATTAAGTTTATATATGATTTTTTTAGCTTGTTAAATCTATCGTTAATTTTGAACTAAGCAAGCTAAAAAGTAGATTCAACAAGTTAATGTATTGATAAAAGTAAATTTAATTTTATAAAATTTTAAAAATATGTCATTATTTTGCAAGAATAACATGAGTAATTTTTATTAACAATGTTGTTATTGTCTATATTATTTTAAATTTTCTTTCATTAAGATTTAATTTTAATGAACTTAATTTATAGAAAAATCCATGTGAAATTAGAGTTATTACATTAATTATAAAAGTTAAAAATTGCAAGATATTCTTGCAAAATTCTACACACAACATTCAGAATTCACACAATAGAAGACAAATAAACATAATTTGCCCTATGGCTATGTGCATGAGGACACACAGATAATATTCGACGCAACAAGTAGAGTCGCCGCGTTAAATAATCTTATAAAGATATGATCAATTTAGTTGAAACTTTAAAACTGATTGTCTCTATATAGAGTTTCACCTCCCAATAGTGTCGCCTCTTAGTAGAAACATACTCCCAATAGTGATTTAAAAGTGAAGAACTATTAGATCGTAGCTTGAAAATCTATCAAATAAGAACGGTACGTCATTATTTTCTAATAGTGACATAACATTTCAAATAGTGACAGTTCGTGGCAAATATTTTGTGAAGAATTTTGTTGAAAATGTAGAAGCAAGTGGCAAATATTTTCCACATGCTTGGATGTTTTCAACAAAATTCTTCCTGTTCATCGACAGAGTTTATAGGAAAACATGAGAGCATTCTTCACAAGCGAGATGTCTTCACTGGCAGATCTCGTAACAAAGTTCGTAATAGTGCTTCGTAAGAAAACTTTAGAGCATTCTTCACAAGCTAGATGTCCTTATCGTAAGATCTCGTGTCATGTCAGTGCGTCAGTTAAGAGCAAGATGTTATGTCATCACATAACTCTCTCTTTCTCTCTGTAGCAGCATGTAAATATAAATGTTTCCTTGTACGTTCTCAAGCTTTCATATCAGATTATATTATGTTTGAAGTTTGTGAATGCTAACTCTCACGAAGGGTTGTGAAATCTGTATCCATGAAGTTGACTTGTCTGTTAGGTATGTCGGCAGAGTATCTATTTCGCCTTGGTCAAGCTTCAAAAGGAAGAGAAGATTTGTCTCAAGGTTCTTTCGGGTGGAGAAAGAATGGGATACGAAAGAAGTTTAATGCTAACATGAATTCAGTGGCTCTAATCAATTCATGAACTACTCAATCATGGTAAAAATACAAATCTAGATGGAGGTTTATTGAGAAAATTGAGCACCTTCAATTTCGTCTTGACATTCAAACGCTTACGCTGACATTTCAAAATCGTAGTGAAACTTGCAAATGAGAAGAACCGCATCAAACACTGAACTTAGAGAAGTTTGTGGCACACGTGGATCACTTTAATGTTAAACATGTGTAACTCTACAGTTCAAACCCTGAAGCTACGAAACCTCCTCTAAGGTACCCTTAATACTAAACCCGGTACGTGTTACTATTGGGAGGTGAAACTCTGTACTATGAACGAATTGTCATCAACAATCCATTGCACGAGTATCTAGGCAACATCCCCTACTAGGGTTACATCTAACAATGTAAACCGACAATCTACTTCGTTTGTAAAACTACTCTATCCAAAGATCTAGAAGAAAATGTAAAATACATCTCATCTTAATTTGAACTAACAAGAACTTAACCGGAACCAAAACAAGATAGAAAAAATACATACACATTTAACTAAAAACTGTTAGTAAATTCTACTTATGCTCTTTATGCCAAAAGATGATAAAGGAAAAACTTATTAAAGTTGATAAAAAATTATTAATAAATTCTACTTATATATCAGAGTCTTGCATAATTGTACAATGTACCAAATTTTTTTACTGAAATAACCTTGTTAAAATATCAAGATGTAATGCTTTGTAACTATCATTGTGAAGATTAATAAACCTCATGTTTCAATCATTAATTTTGCATTGAATTTGCCTAACTATTATCTTTATTGCTTTTGATATCGTTTTGTACTGAGGTTTTCGTTGTGTACTTAGCAAAGTATATTTCCAATTATTGACTTCGCGGTCATGTGGACATACATATTTAGTTATAAATTTTCTAGTTCAAATCTTGTCCATGGTCAGCATTATCATAAATTAACAAAAATTTCATATTGCTTAAAGATTTTCAAACAATAAACTATAATTTGTATTATATTTTAGATACTTGAAAATCAATTTTTCCTATTTCTACATGTACATGTTTGGCTTGCTCACCATCGGATACATGAAACTTTTCTCAATTTTATCATTGGAATCACATAAAATCTTACTTTTCAATAGCATTGGTTCAACTGCAAAATGTTTGAAATCTGTTGCAAGATATAACATGATTTTTTACCATGTTATATCTGTCAAACACACACTATCATTTCTTTTAACTATATCATATAATATTCTTCATCATTTCTACATGAATGATCATGCCATATATATTTTTGATCGTTTTCGAACGTTCCATTTGGACACAAATTTTAATTAAGTATTCAATCAAATTGATTCTTACCAAATGATATTATTGTTTAAATAATATATCATAGTACCAACATTGACCATTTTTAGATTTGATTATATATATATACAAAAAATTATATATATTTCATGGATAATTTTATTTTTTTATGAAATTATCTCACATTCAATCATTGATTGTAAGATAATATTTGACATTGATCATATAAAATGTTGTATGTGAAAACTTTCCCAAAATATATGTCATAAACATAGTTACAATATCCATTTTTGAATATGTTATATTTTAAATGTGAATATTTTAATTTTTTATAATTGTATTGTTATTAATTCACATAATATTTCGTTAAAAAAACAATGAAATTATGAAATATATAAACAATCGTTTTAACTATCTATTTACTTGAGTTCAGTTACATACAGATCTGTATGGGGCAAAAAGATAAACTAATATATTGCATATCAAATTCTTTTATATTGTAATAATAAATAAACTTGAATAAACCAATAATATATTCCCGATTAGTTTCCCCGAGTATTATACAAATGGAATTAAATCAGATGCAAGATGATATTAGATACTTCAGCGATCGCTACTAATTTCAATGATTATAAAATTTCAAACATTGAGTGCATTTTGTAATTTTCATTAGACTTGTGAATTTTTGTCTTTACTTCATTATGAATAAACAATAATTTTAATTGAGTATCATAGAAAAAATTTTACTTCCAATGTTAAATGTAACATATTGTGAATAATTTGGATAATTACAAACCTACTGATATTATATTTGCAAATCATAGAATAAAATCACGTAGTAGCTTTCGTGCAACTCAAATTTGTACACTAGGAAAGTTGCAATCTAGTGTCCAACTCATCCTCGGATAAGGAATTCGAGTTGACAAACTGAACTCAAGTTTAGTTTTGATCTTGACTAAAAGAAGGAAAGGTCCTTTGCTTCAAACCTGTATTTATGTCCGATACCAGAGCTCCACCTGCAAATTCCCGCTTCCTTTATATCTTGATGTGAAATGCTGCTTTCCAGTCCACATTGCAAACGACTTTTTCCTGCAGATCTCACGCGAATCATCTAAAGCTTACCCTCTTCGAGCAACAAGAGAAATGGAACGGCTCTTGATATTAAGAGTTTAAAGTGCATGTGCTCGGTATGAAGACTCCACTACAGCTGTAAACCAATGCCAAATTCATGGAAATAAATTTAAAAGAGACCATTCGAGAATGGATAGACTCCTGATGTGTCTCAACGGAGGATGAAAGGCTCCTAAGTCATTGAAAGCTTATCACTGAGAACTGAACAAACGAGATTTGACGACAGCCACGACAGTGATGAATAGATTTGTCAATGAACGTTTCAGGATAACGAAGTTTCATGAAAGTGACCACGTGGGCGAGTTTCTTTAGACGGGACTCACTACTTCGTTTAACAAGAAATGTGAACCAACCCTGCACTCTGCAATGTGCAATAGCCAAGAGCACAGGACCCCAAATATGTATATCTGCTATCCACCAGATTAATAGAAACATAGTATTTTGATTTTGGAGTGACCTCTACTGTGCACACAAGTGACGGAACCTCCTCATCTAGTGTGGCAAATGGACATAGGACAACTGCATATCTACAAGCTGAGAATAGTAGCCATTGGACACACAAGTGTCCTCATCATATAACTTTGTGTCCTAGATCATGTTACAAACGCTGAATGAATTTCTAGAGTGGCTACCAGCCCAGATTGCCGGGTGCAGCATCCAAACACTGATACTTCACAACTCGCATGTATACCATCCAGTTCGGAAGCTTTCAAGCATCGGCTTTGGAAGCGCACGAAATGACTGGCTGTCCCAGTCTGTGTGCCTTTGCTTGTAAGCGAAGAAGAGACCCAAATGGACTTCAGATTACTACAATGATCAAGCCAAAGAAACACATGTCAAGATAGAATAATGGGGAGGAAAAGTGTAGCGGAAAAACAGTTTCAAACAAACCCTTTCAGACTTATCCTCTAAGCTACTGCAGTCAGTTGATAAAACCAAATGTCCTTGAACCTGATGGACTACTGTTTTGATAATAAGAGCGGGTCCTTCACAAGCCTTACTGACCGATAAGCAAAGTTTGCGCAGAAATTTGTCTTTCGATGTACATGATGATACAAGACTATTTACAGAGCAAACATGAGAGTATTTCCTGATTGCAGCTCACAATTACTGAACTCACTACATACTCATGAAGAAATTGATACTGACACAGAGTAAAGATTGCCATTACCTTTTTCTTTCCTTTCCATCCCTTGCCCTTGTAGCCACCTTTATACTTCTTGCCGAACTTGTGACCTTTGTACTTCTTATGCTTCCCGTGCTTGTAATGCCCATGAGAACTGTGACCATGAGAGCCAACATGAACTTTGCCTGCCTTGTGACCTCCATGACCTGCACATGGTCAAATGCAGAGAGAGGTCAGTTACAACAACATTGCAATTTAAGAATACAAGCCTTTCGGCAGACCAGAATCTTTAAATTGAGGAAAGGAGAAAAATCGATGACCAACATCAACGACTTTCCTCTAATGAACTGTTTTCAAAATAAATTGCATGCACACGCTAGTCCTCAGAACGACATACAGCTTAGGAAAAAAAGTGAAGATATTAGAGGTTCACTTACCTCCCATCATTGGCATGATGCCATAGGGTGCAACAGGGTAACCACTGGGCGCATGTCCTCCGTGGCTGGAGGGGTACGGGGCAGGGTAAGGAGCAGGGTAAGATCCATGTGGAGGGTGTCCGGCTTGTGGGTAGCCAGATGGGGCGGGGTACCCAGTCGCTGGTGGGGGATAGCCTCCCTGGGGAGGAGCATAGTAACCTTGAGGAGGAGGAGGATAACCTTGAGGAGGTGGAGCTCCATAAGGCGGGTAACCTTGAGGAGGAGCCCCGTAGGGTGGAGCTCCGGGGTATCCTCCGGGAGGATAACCAGGAAACCCGTGACCATGTGACCCCATACCCTTATCTGTCATGACGTATTTCCACTTCTGCGAATCAAACAAGATATCCAATTAATAACTCTGCAACGATGGATCTCTACGGCATAAACAGCTACTTCAAATCACATTTTCCCTACCCGTCTCCTCTCAACCTGATGTCTGGAAAACATTCTAAAACATTCTCTTCCTCAGGGTTTTTGCATGATTGTTCAGGAAAACAGCAGTATCATGGGGATGGGAAGTTTCTCTAGATACCAGCAAGAATTACGTATGATGAAGTATCTGATTCAGAAAAATTATTCACTAGTAGACTCAACAAGTGCAGAAACATACGACGTTGTAAATCTAAGCTTATCCACTGACGAGATTACCAAACAGAAACTCGATATATTGGTCAAAACGCAAGTGCTCGCCAAATACTGTTCCCAACTTACAAGTGTGTCGCAGAATCAAATCCTCTGTTGTGGTCCTGTCTAAAATTCAATTAGCTCCAGTTCCTACACCCATCCACAATCGAAAAACATGTCAGCCGCTGAGACATAGTCAACACAAAGGATGAGATCTAAAACCAGGAATTCCAAGATAAGCAGTCCGCCTGACCCATATGCCAAATGATTTCTAAGAAATGCCTTCTCCGCCGCGCCACACCATGCCTTCTACCCACGGCCACACTCAAACTGACTTCATCTCACTACAACGCACGAGCGCATCATAATTCCGGAGCTCAAAAGGGAGCACTCGACTGCCCAACTTTCCTCGATCAGATCCGGTACGAGATCCATCCCCGTTACTCAAATCCATGTACCTGAAACCCTTCTATCTAAATCCTCGATCGCCAATCTATCCTCGAGTTCCTCTGTTCCAAACTTCAGGGACCCATTTCGTTCGTCAATTCCGGTCGGCTCATCGAAATTCCACTCCAAAGCTCCGAGCAACCACACAGGAAAAGAAAACCCGCAGCGTCGACCCCAGGCAGCGCAGGACCAAATCCAAAAGCGAGAGACACAGAGAGACAGATAGAGAGACAGAGCAGCGAGCGTGAGACGCACCTACCTTGAGGTTCCAGTCGAGCAGCTGAGAAAGAACTCGGCGAGTGGCGTACTTGTACAAAGCCGGCCGCAGGCGCGGGTCCGGACGAGAGCTCCGAGGCAGAATGCGAGGCGACAGTGCTCGTCCTGTCGCGCGCGGACCTTCACGCGCCGGGTGCGTCGTTCGCACGCGCCTGAAGACGCGTTGCATCATCACGCACGCACTGTCCGTTTCATCTTTCAGGCCTCCAGATTCTGAACCTCCCCGAGGTTGCCATCTGCCTGCCATAGTCCCCTGCTTCTGACTGAGCTCGGGGCAATTCAGACCTTCCCCGCACGCCATAGCTTCTGATCAGCGCGGACGGCCGATTTCCGAGCCCCGGCGACGGACGTCCAAGTCGTCGCCTGCGTCTCAGAGCGTGACTCTCTCTCTCTCTCTCTCTCTCTAGCGCTGCTGAGCATGAACGATCGAGATGTTGACCCCGGTCCCATAATCACGTGGAAAATCCGGACGATAGCGAAAGGCGACTTTTTGTAGAGCAATTGCAATTTGGTCGCAAACCCATCCCTGAATCCGTCAATCCTCCCCTGAATGTTTACGGCATCTCGTATTGGTCATGTAGGTACGTCCTGGAAGTGAAGGATGAAGGAAGGGAGAGAGAGAATCCCAAATATTATTGATTTGAGAGGAGGTCCGGTAAGATGAGATGAATGGAGTCTTTGAACCAAATGGTGTGAAGGAGTATTACGGAAATTCGCTTTGCGTGTGCAATTGAACCAACTTGCTGAAGGTCATATCTACAATAAAGAAAGGCTTTTATTAGACGTGATTGACATAAAGTGATTATGTAGGAAATTTCAGCTTTCAAAACCCCAAATATCATTGACTTCATCTGACCTGTAAGATCAGATAAAGGGAGTATTTGACCCAAATGAGGTGGGCCATCCGTATTCTGGCCGCATTTGTGGCCAGAATACGGATGTACTTTGTAGTTGCGGACATATGAGCCAATACTGAAAGCGCTAACAAGCCTAGATACGTTATGGAGATTTGGTTTTGGGGAGTGATTTTGTTTATAGCGGAGTTGTTTTTACTGTTCTATAATTACTTGAGGAGTACGGTAAATAGATGAACCCGGCTCAAAACCACAATGCAAATAATCCAACTCGAATCTAGGAGAGAAAAAAAGTCCACTAACTAATGCCAAGAACACTAAAACGATAATAAATAATATTTCTAATGTAACAAACTGAAATATAAATCTCAAGCTAAAAAAATAAAAAATTCTCAACAATAATTTTATGAGACACTCTATTTTTTATTTATCTACTACAAATAAGAAACACATACTTTTCATACTTAACTTTTCTTCCATCACTTACAAATACGTAGAAGAGGCTGTTTCATGACATCATTTAGTCGCTGAGATGGCTTAGATACAAGACATTCAAAATTGGACTGCTAGCGCAAAGCCTCTGATGAATTTGTTGACGGTCCTTGTGCTTATTCTGGAGATATTGAATTGACATCCTTGCATCCGTGATTGAAGACTATGTTTGAAAGGGTAGAAATGATAGCGATTGAGTAACTAACCTTGATATCAGATTGGGTTCAGAGGCTATACACTGGAATGTAGATTCTTGTATGCCTTCCCGACTATCAAAATACCTGCTACACGTGACTCCATTCTTTTTCAGTTTAAGCATGGCAAAGCATTTATTTAAATAAAATAGAAGAAGAAAGATATAGCTCTTTCTGTGGTTTGGATTTTTGAAATGGAGAATAATAAGGACGCAAAGGTCTACTTTGCACTGATCTAGCTTACTAATGATGCATGGTATCATAATCGTGAATACGTTTGTATTTGAGTTTGCACAAGTTTGAGTTTCCCATAATCACAAAGGTAAAGAATCCACTCTGATAAACAGGAAGGAAGTAGTTGTCATAGTCACAGTACTACAATCCATAACATATGATAAAGAAAGAGAAATTTATCTATCACTTGAAGGTAATTGATAAAGTGCAATAAAAGGTTTATTTTGCAGAATATTGTAACCGTGTTTTTTTTTCTTTATGCTTGAGTGCTCATTGGATGTTTTCTTTTTTGTTGATATCATCAATTATGCAACAAGTATAGGGGTTTGCAAGTAAGGAAAGAAATGTAATGAGGAGCGGGGCGAGTATAAACCAAACATGACGTAGCCAACTTCTGAACAACTCATTTTATTGGAGATATGGAAGCAACCAGCCCATTCGTTGGAACTGTGATGGGGTGGAGCATCTCAAATCAAAACGCATGGCCATCTAGTCCTTTCCTTGTGTCCTCAAATGTCTGTTGATTATTTTGTTGAATATCCAACAAGTTTTCTTTAGATTACTATTCGACAGGGGAGCATATGAGACCAATGGTGGTAACTCGGATATGCGCGGATTGCGTTACCTCTGCAAAAAGTGATCCACATTTTTTGAGAATGGGCTAGAAATGAAAAGTTCTATTCGCTAATACAATGACAATGAATTCTGAGGCAATGATTTTTAATGATGGTTTTTTAAGATGCTGATATTATCAGCATCTCCATAACCAATCATTATGTGGATCGTGTCATTAAGCTCCGGGGCACATTCTTCTTCCGATCGATTCGACATCACTGAATTTGTATGACCTGGACGGCTGAAATCTGCTGGAAACACACTACCTAGTTTCCAGTCCTCGGACTGCGAAAATCTATTTTTAGAACATCGATTTCCAATAAAAAAGATTAATTGTATTATTGGGAGCGGAAATTTGGTAACCTGGGTTACCACCCTTGGGCTCATATGTGGATATTTTAGACACTGATGTAGCACAAGCTTTGGAAATATTGTTGAGATTGTGAAGATTTACATCATGTCAATAATGCACAAGGTAGTAGTAGGAAAATTGATTTCTTTGAGCTTGACTGCAATCATGTTTATTTCCAGTACTATTTTAATGTCTGGATATTGGAGCCAAGATTAGAGTCATTTTAAATCAAGATGGATGGAATTATTGTCTTGACGCCATACCCTTCTTCTCCTTACCATGTATTTAAAGCCATTAGACACATTGAAAAAGGTCATAATCTAGTCATTCTCACAGACTGAAAGCTACATGTAGAGGTAGATATCTACAAGGAGACGTATGTAGAAAGAAATGTGGAGAAAGAATAGTAAAAGGAGAATTATAGTCATCTTGACTTGACACCCAGTCAGACCAGATAGAAGGGACTCCCTTGGGCAGATCACGTGAGGTTTGTACGAGCCTACGAAATTAAGTTCTTAGCCAAGACATGTTTTAAGGATATACATTTGGGAATTGGTGTTGTTTGTATCTTTGTGTCCCGATGCATACTGGGAGAGGAGAACAGGTTGCAATTTGTGATGGGATCGAGAATTTTGGAGACCAGTTTTGGGCCGGTGAAACGTGACAGGCGGGGCAGAAAAAGACCCACGACGATAGAGCTGTGAACCGGGTGAACCGGGTGGACCAGGTCGATCTGACCGGCCTTCGGGACCGGGTCAAAGAGGCCAAATTTAATTGCCTTGATGCAAGCACGTCTGGGCGAGGAATCTTGACCGAAAAGGGTCCTGAGCATGGGTCGCAACTTCTGCCCAGCATCCCCTCGCCGTTCTTCTTGCTTGCTTGACCTCCAAGTTCCTGCCAGAATCGTACAACACATTATGCTTGACGGATGCTCAAATAGCCCAGCGCCGGGACTATCATACGCAGTCACATGCGATCTGCTGTGATGAGAGTTTGGAGCTGAGCGCACATTGTTTCGAGTGCAAGTGGTCAAAGGTGGAGTTTGTCTTCTAGCATGCTCTTTTATGAAAAGCATGGAGAGCTCACTAGAACGCACGACTTAAATTAATACAATTCATCTATTACTTCAAATTCAGGAGATAATTTAATCAGTTTTTAACACATAGGAGAACTTGAATCAAACCGGACCCATTTTCTTTTATGATTTTTTCTCCACAATAACTTATTTATTGAACTTAAAAAAATATATTTCCACTAGCATTCCTTCAAATCTCAGAATTGAAACCTGGTTTCCTACCCATGTCATAGACCGGCATATGTCGCATTTGGTCCTATAGTTGTGCAACTGGCGGTAGCGTCCAATCTGATATGCGAACTTTCTGGGAGTAAACTCAATCACACTTGTTGTGATGGTAGCATAGTGCGTTGAGCAATAGCTATGTTATCTTATACCGTGGTCGTTATCCCTAAAAAATATATCTTCCACAAGCGTGAGGAATATCGACGTCCAATACTTTCGTGGTTCTTAACGATCGTGGGTCAAAATTCAGTAACGTAAAAATCAGCCATCGCCGGATGCAAAGTATGGATGCCAACATTTCTTCTTCATCCGCAGTCATGACCGCCCGGTATTGTAGGACTTAATACGCTGAAGTACGAAACCCTCTATCGGCGTAGTACGATTTATTTTATGAGGGAGGTATACAGTGAGTGATTTCACCCGACCGAAATGATAATCTCTCCTTACAAAATTAGCTGCACTTTAAAAGAATATTTCACATTTATAAAGAATATAATCATACCAGCTTACGATAATTCCGTTAAAGTATAAATGGAGAAGTCCTGGATACATGGAAAATAGGATGCTTTGCAACCTCCAGTTGTCTGTTACAGCTGGCAGAGAGACTTTCTAAGGATTGCTGGCAGCACAAAGCAGCCTTCGATGCTTCGAATTCACATGTCAATTGATTAGAAGATCGGCAGAATGTCGACTTACGGTATTATGACGGTGAGCCGAGCTATGGGTTCACATGGCAGTCACGTTCACACTGGAAGATTATGCCGGATCGTGACGAAGCCGATCGATCCCCGTCACAGTGATTGATGTAGGGCTGAAGGTGTAATTTACGTTCAAAGAAATGTCATCGAGAGCCTGCCCGAGCGAGGCAATCGCGAAGGGTTGCAAGAAGGTATCGTCTTCCTTCTCGGAGCCTGTTGCGCATGCATACACGATCGAGCAAGATCGAAGGACGGTGCTGAAGATAGATACTGATGCCCACCGCGTAAGTTTCAAGCATCGCAAGAATTTTTTCTCGAGACTGATGGTGGTGCGGATGTGTCAAATTTGTCGCAAATGCTGGCGCTAACGCTACTTGGAGTTCGGTTGATTGGTTCAGAAGATAGGTTTGGTACAGGAAATTGCTTCTGGCGTGACTTTGTCTGTTCCATCTGTAGGCAAGGTGCCAGAGGGCACAACGATGACAAGGCCGGCATTCAGATGCTCATGGCAGCCGAGCAAGAGGCGCAGCAGATCGTCAATAGCGCCCGGAATTGTGTGATTGATCGACCTTCTTAAAAAGACGGTTCCTTTCATGCTTGATTCAAATTATGATTTTGTTAAAGCATGTTATCTGAGCGTTGCTCAGGTCGCCTGAGCATCGTTCAGATTCAAGATTAAGAACTTGCCTCCTCAGACGTGCACTTCATGGACGCTAACTGCAGCCTTGAACTTGAAAATCGTACTCGTCACTTCGAGAAGTGGGCATTGAATTTGATAAATCTTTCCTTTCACCACCGCCGGAGAGGCGAGCGGCTTGAAATAATATGAGCTGATACGTGCTGGCAGCAAGGGCATCGAGATTGCGAGAAGCCAAGGGCGAGGCAGACCGAGAGGTTTCGCAGTATCGAGCAAGCCGTGAATCAGATTTCCGAAGAAAGCTTTCAGAGGTGCTGTAGAATAAGCTGGTCCTCCGAGGTCATATTGTCGACGCGAAATTTCAAATTGTTGCATGCCTGCCTGCCTGCCTTGCAGCACTCAGTTATGGATAAGATTTATGCGCATAACTCATCATGATTTGTGGTCACCATCAGGCAACTGGAGACTCAGGAGCAATAACCAAACGCATCGAAGCTGACACTCTTCAAAGGCTGCAAGCTTTGACTGCTATTGCAAACCAATCTACCGAGAGGGTGTGTCCCTGTCCCGATACTATTTTCTAACTAGCACTTTTTCCCATTCGTCCTGAGGATACAGAATTTGGATCCTCGAATGTGGAAATTTGCGAGAAAATTTCTCACGGCGTCATCATTATAACGGATGTGTAGATGTTGAGACCCTAAATGTTTTCGCCTGGATACATTTTGACATTCTAGGCATTTCATGCCAGCACGACCCTTCTTTGGGGCATGGCAGTCACATGATCACCACCAGAGGTTCACTATTCGCATACTCGAAACGTAGTGCCTGGACACGGCCGAGCACCTTGTGATATCAAAGCAAACTCAAGATTCTTGCGGTTGCAAAAAACGGTTATGGATTAATTCTTGATTGGATGAGTCTAAATCATCTCAAGTCTGGTGCCGACGAGGTTCAGCTGAATCAAAGCACATCGTAATCTATTTCAATAAATTGTGAGGCTCATTGGTAACTGATGGCAGGTATCCGCACTGCTGGTAAGCTGGGTCACAAGCGTGAAGAACGACTTTGGAGATGACGCGGACTTTGAAGATGACGCGGAGTGACAGAAATTCTCTCCACCAGTCTACTGGTATGGCTTTCTTCAACTCTCTTCAGTACTCGTGACAGAAAGAATATGTTCATAGTGTCTGTGAAGAAGAGGGCAGATACGTGGAGGAATAAGAAAAAGGAAGAAAATTGCTTCATTCAATGAATAAAAATTCCAACTAAAAATAAACCGTGTACACCAAGCACTCGTTCACTCTCTTCTACACTCCACTGGTAATGACGAGACGAGGCAAGGCTTAGGTAGGTGACTCCGCTGCAACAGGAGATGACAATGCAGGAACTGGAGAAGTAACTGAAGGTCAAGTAACACGAGTTTTGAACGAACGACAGTGACAGTTTCAGTGCGGAATCATGATCTCGTTCTATATTCGAATCCTTTTCTACGTATTTGTGCAATCTGTTAGGATTTCGCCCGTTCATGGAAGATCGGATTATATATACACACAGTGGGCATGGTATGGGGTGTCCAGACGGATTTTTCCTTCCTATGGTCTCCACATCCACAGAGATTTTAAACTTGATCTAAAGTCATTTTCTTCACCTCGCGGGCCACGTGCACCTGGTTGGTATGATGCTTTCGAACATGGGTTCCAACCTGATGTCTAGATCAGTCCAAATTATCGTGCGTTTCGATACTGGCTCCAGAAGGATGTCAGCTTGGATCGTTTAACAATTTGAAGCACAAATGAAGGTAAGGTTAAGATGAACAATATACTAGTAGGGTCTACCATAATTTTCCTTTGTCGATAAGTGCTCTATTTCCTCTTGAATACATGCAACGTACGATGCACATAGCTACATGAAGCGTATATTAAGACTTCGAGCGTTCGATTAACAGTGCGCGTGGCAAGCAGTAGTACACATGCGGTATTGGACACTGAGGAACTCTGAAGATTGGCCAAGTTTTAGTTTTCGTGAGCTTCGGGGCAGAGATCGCTAGGCGTAAATTCAACTGATTCATTCGTTTTTTCTTTGTACGACATTGCTTTCTTCGATGGACACGAGTGGAGCGTAGTGCACGAGGCTCTGTAGACGTATACGCCGTAGGGTCGTGAACATTTCTGGACATGTGAAAGAAGGCGTGCTCTAGCGGAATTCCGCAGCTCTTGTTTGAAATAACGATGTTTATGCCTGTGAGCGTCGTGGCCTCAAAAACTGGAAATATATCATGCGGGAAAAGTCAGAAAGTTAAATGATAGAAAAGAAGTTGCAAGCTCTTGATATCCAACGAGGAATTTTGACGAAGGAAACAGATGAACAGAATTCGTGAAAGCTGATTCTTGGCCGGATACGTGCATAGTTGTCTAATTGCGTCTGCCGTTTAGTGAAACAGGTTCCGTTCTCCCACGAATCCAACATACACGAAATGTACACATAAACTCATCTAAGATTCAGTCATTCGTGTGGAGTTTGATGTAACGTATTGTTAATTCAATGTTACGTTTCATAAGAATCCAATACCAAATAAATCAGAAGACGACGATTTATTGACTCTCCACAGTATCCAGTCTGTCCCTGCTGTGTGGCGTATCTCCTCGGGCAAACAACATAAAGTCGTTCATATGGTAAAAGCTTGGTATGAAGCTGTTGTTAAATCAAGCTTCTCTTCCATACGAGCGATTACCAATTAGTTGTTCTCAGATTTATCAGAAGACGACGGTACATTGGCTCTCCAAAATGTCTCTGTCTGTGTTGGGAGGATCTCCTTGTGCAAGCAACACCAAAGAATGTTTTACGTAAGTCCTAAATGACCAGTCCTGTACATCGACAGCCCTTGGGCCGAATACGTGTACCCTACGCTTCTCAACAATTTACTGCACACATCACGACGGACGGAGAGATTTGTCAGTACTGTCGAGCTGAAAATGTAGAACAATATCAAGACCATTTGATAAATAGCAACGTATGAAGCACGAACTTCAAAAAGCAATGTTCCTCTAGACTCAAAAATATGGGCTGCAGAGAATCAGCCATGTTGACTACTGGCAAATCTTGGCTTAGTTCACTAAGACGGTAGTGAAAGCAAACCCTCGAAGTTCTCACGACTCTTGACGCAATATGCTGTTAGACTCCTGTACATGCAGAATGATAAGCATTCCCCGCCCACACGCTGAAAACAAGCATATAGATCACCCTCATGCTATGTCCGTCTTAAAGTTGCACCAGACGAGGATATGTCTACAAATGGCAGAGATTGAGAAGAAACTCTTTGCCAGAATTTCTGGAACACGGTCTCTAGCAAAGGGACTTCGTTTGCTTCCTCAAGTTAACACTTGGATATAGAAGTTCCCAATCCGGGACAAGAAATACCTTCTTCTTGCCCTTCCAGCCTTTACCCCATCCTTTAGACTTCTTTCCAAACTTGAAGCCTTTGTACTTCTTATGTTTGCCATGCTTGTAATGTCCATGAGAACCGTAGCTAGAATGAGAACCTACGTGCACCTTACCAGCTTTGTGTCCTGCCAAGTTGGAGCAATGTTAGGGTAGAGAGAGTACAAGATGTGAATCTCACTCACCAATGAAACTAATTTCGGTAGTTACAGACTAATAGTGGTGTACAGGATACCCTCCTGAGCCAGGTGGCCATGGACCTAAAAAAGAAAAAAACAACCAACCATGGAATACATCAACAAGATTGTGGAAAGACCTCTCCATTACGCCGCTGGCACTAACTTCCACAGCTTTCTGTCAAAGCGTCCTACAGCTGTAATATGAGCACAATAATTTTCCCTATCCTCGAGAGTCATTCTTATTTATGCAGGAAATTGAACAAAGCGATCTGATGACAAGTAAATGACATAGAACGACTGAAAATTCCGTACCTGGTGCTCCATATGGCATTACTTGTGGGTATCCACCGGGTGCGGGATACGGAACTGGCGCAGGGTAGTGTGGTGCTGGAGCAGGGTATCCAGTAGGAGGAGGTGGATATCCCCCTGCAGCAGGGTACCCTGATGGAGCAGGATATCCTGTGGGAGCAGGATATGGTGCAGGCGGTCCTGGATAGGCAGTTGGGGGAGCAGGGTATGGGTTCACTGGTGGATACCCTTGAGGAGGTGCTTGGTAAGACACAGGTTGAGGAGCATATCCTGATGGATACGGGGCAGGAGCTGGTGGATAAGCAGGAGGGGCTCCGTATGCAGGGGGTGGAGGTGGGTATCCGCTCATTTGTGGAGGGTACCCCGAGGAGCTCGTCTGTCCATGAGCAGCACCGTGATTATCCTTTTTCTGCAGCGGGCCAACAATTCTGTTACTGACAATGAAGCAAAGAACCTTGTTCTTTCCATCTTCCAAGTGTACTTTCCCCACCATCCTTGCATGCAGGCCTCGAAGTCCCATAACGCTATTTCGCACTACCATATACAATTTATAAATAAATAAATAAATATATAAAGAAATGCTCGACTGCAGTTAACTATAGCAAAGAATAATTTTAGTAAAAACAGAAAGTTCAAATGAACAGTTAGTCCGACTAAAATGACCAAGACAGTGACTTACGCTTCCGGCGTAATGCAAGATGAGATTCACTTCTCCCGAAGTCCTGGAAAATTACAACCAAAATTATCTTTAAACACCATGTCTCAGTGGAGCATAACCAATGCATAACAACTAGAGGCGAAGCTTTTATCCTCCCTCACTGGCAAAAGTGACTCCAATACACTCATACTCTGTACATATAGCACATATGTCTACAGATACTCCTGTAGATATTGCAGCTACAGAGCGAGACATACCTATAGTTATTTAACTCTAAAATCCAATATCTTACTGATCAGTTCACCCAAGCTCAAAATCGACGTGAAACAACCGGGAAGTCAACCTACGATGCCACCTGCCTTACTCGAACCTTAACACACAAGGAATTCCTCCACATTCCCCCCATTTGTAAACGACGAGAGCATCGAAATGAAACTTCATGCATACAAATCTGTAGAGGACATAGTGTGGTCCAGGTGCACTTACTTCCCGTGTTTGGACTTCAGTGCCCACGCTGTATTATCATAGCCAGAAGACAAAACCCTGTCAAGCAGGACCCTGAGAACAAGGACAGCAAAAGAGAAATCAGGGCGGTGTAAAAGCGTAAGTGTTAAAGGCGGAGCACGGTTGAAGTGGAGGAGAGGAAATCGCAACTTTGCAAGAGGCCTTAGAAGTTTATCAGCAGGTAGTTCCTGGCTGCTGACCTAGTGACATAAGCATTCATGCTCCGCCTACATAAAATATAAACGGGCTCCTTGCGACTGAAAGAGAGAGAATATGGGCAAACAGTTGGTCCATACTTGCAGCTACCGATATGATCGTCGAGAGATACGGTGTTACTGTTCCATACTTGCACATTTATTTCTCGCAGGCCTTCGATGAGAGGTATCTGAAATTTCTCATTAAATGTTGGATTTTTTCCTCCATCTGATTTCATCGGCAAGTAATCGGCACAGGTCCTTAAGTACTGATATCCTCACCTAATTACCTCGTAAAATCATAATGTCTGCGTCTGCTGATGTACAATAATGATGTCGGGCTAAAATCCCATGCCAAAGAGCCCGAGGACATGTGTACAAGATGTCCCAGTACTAAACACTGAAAACAACGGTTGACATGCGACGATCCAGACCGAGTCGAGATTATGAACATACCAGTGTCTGTTCTTGTTCTGAATCTGTTATTTGCGTACTCGACAACTACGTATGGGTCTTGCCTGGAGAACCACTCCTTGTCCGACAAATTCCTACAACCCACCACTGGAGAACAGCACACCAGAACGAGCACTATCAGATAATTGGGCAGGAAGAAGCTGGCATGAGAAACGTAATTGAGAAACCCCAACAACACGCAGATCGAGAGTAGCCCAGCACTAATCATGTGGAACACAGCCCTTCGTATCAAGCATGGCAAAGCTGATTGCCTCCTTCTAAGCAAGGACGGTGTTCCCGATCTCGCTGGCCAGAAAAAATACTTCATATCCGTGAGTTAAAGCAGACCCTTATCCTTTGCTAACATACACTCCAAAGTCCTCTTTCCCTTCACCGCGTCCTTCGAGTTCCCGATTATCAATACTCATCGACTAAACTCATACGGGGATACGATGATTCTGTCACCTCCAACTAAGCGCACTTTTCCAGAAAGAGCTCAGAGAAACAACAGTCGAGGTCCGAAAACTGTGAGGAAAAGCGGACGGGGAAACTCCAGAGATAAACCGCGGAAACATACCATTGACTTCCAGAAGCTGCCCTTGTATTCCTGTGACAGTCTTTGACATCGCTACCAAAACCCACAGCCCAGAAGAGCAGCGATCGAAGCACGCCTGTTCCTTCCTCTCCCTTTCCTCTCACCCTCTCTATCTCTATCTCTCTTTCTCGAAAGTTGAAACGAACGGAGCCTGAATATTGTGCAGCAAAGTGTCGTTGCACGAAACACACTCACTAACACATACACTACGCACAAACGCGCTCTTTCTCGGCAGCTCCTTGGATTATAGTGCGTGAACAAAGTCAACACCACAAATCGATCGATCCAATTAGAGCGAACCTGCGAACCCAATTCTTTTAAACGGCAGGGTCGAGGTCCAGGTCCACAATTGCCGGGCCACGAACACTTCCTACAAAAGCAACACGCGGAGTGCAACGCGTTCGAGTACAATGCTCGCGCACAACATCAATCGCGTCCGAGCAATCGGGCTTCCGCAGAAGAAGAAGAGGCCCTCCACCAGCGCTTCCGTGCAGAGCCGTGTTCGATACGAGGACAGACGGACGGACGGACAGATCGTACTTCGCGCGAAGGAGCCTTCAATGCCCAGACTGGTGGCGTTTAGGGCGAGCGAGCCGTCGGATTTCCACGACCGAGTCCTCCTCCGGACCCTCCCCCAAATCCGCACGTCCGGCGTCGTCTGCCGCTGCGGAAGCTCCCCTCCTTCCTCCATGTTCCGCCAGAGCCCTGACTTTCTTCGTGCCCTGGCCGAGTGCCGCAGCGCCACACTGCAGGCGCGTCTGGATTTAGCGCCCCATTGTCAATGTCCCCGCGGGTTTGTCAGGACCTCCAGTTTAGAAGGTTTGAACTAGCCCTCCCTCCAGCGCCCTCTCCCGTGTGAAAACGACAACTGCGCGGATTTCCCATGCAAGACTCCGACTGGGATAGCTATCCATCCACGACGACGGTGAAGTGACTCGTACTACATCAATTTAATTTCTATATTTATGTTTAATTTAATTAATATTAGAATGTTTTAGCGCTTTTTTCTTACCGGACTCTGCTCGTACGGTACGGCGCCCCACGCAAAGGGTACTCCGTCGGGTTTCTTTACTGAGACGGCCCCTCCCTCCGTCGACCTGTCTCCGTCAGAGCACGTGTCGTTTTCCTGCCCCGACTTTCCGCCTGCCGCAGCGGAATCGTCGCTTCGACGGCAGGAGGGTCCGACTTTTCTCTGTAGACTCTTCCGCTGCCGTCGAGTTCACTCCCGTCGGTCCTGCCGGAAAGCGATCCTCATTGCGACACTGGCGGCGAGAGTCCCAGTAGCTTGCTAACTCTTATCCCCGGTGAACGCGGCGTACCATGTAGATAAAATTGAATGATATTAAATATTTTAGGATACTGCAGTCTACAGGACAAAAGACGGGGGAAGGGGATCTCAATGTTGGTAAAGCATTGAGAATGAAACATTCTGTGCGTGTCTGTCTGTAGGTCATTTGAACCGGTATAACCTGTCCCTCCGGTTCCGAGGGTCTCTACGAGGGACTTTTCGCCACTCGTCCCTTGAGCTTGTGCCATGGGTCAGGATCGTAGAAGTGATCGTTCCACGATCATAGAAGAGAATTTATTCTGCTATGCGTGACAGGGTTGCAACGATGCTGAATGAAGCGCAAAGTATTCTTCTGGTACCTGCGAAGTATACTCTTGAAAACGTCCAGACAATTCACGCTTCATGTGCAGTAATTTGGCGATGAGATGGTCATGAGATATAGTCTCAAAGTCTAAGAATCTCATGGGCGATCCAGGAGGTGTGAAGTCTTCTGAGAGACCCAGCTGAGTCATATAAACTTGTCATAATTTTCCGAGAGCTTTCGGTCCGCATAGACTGCACTGGGCATCGCTGGACCCAGCATTAGTTGCCAAAATCTGGCCTTTCCATACAATCCTCCGTTTACAAGCTAAAATTAGGGGCTGCTTACCGACCTGGAAGCACTTGCGGAAGAGTCTTCCTTTCATTTGTTTGAGGAACATGTGCACAGTCTTTGATCATCTTTCACAAGGCTTCGTCCATTTCAAATTGTTTAACCTCTTACGGACAACGTCGTCGTTTGCATTGGCTTTAGCTGTTGTGTATATAGACGGAACCTCCAAAATCGTTATGGGCTGGTCGAGAATCCAAGAAGTCATACGAGAACTTTCAAGTATATATCAAGTCACTTTGTACTGTTTGGAGGTCGGTCTGTCATTTCACAACAAATCTTTGTTACGAATTTTGGAACCTATACTTGGCTTGGGGATATCCACTCTCATCATAACCGACTAGATACGCTGAAGACTTTCGATACTCGAATTATGGCACAGCCATTGTGTCGAGTCTGTCCGGGAAATCAGTACTGGTACTATAGTACCAGGATCAGTACGATTAGATTATGTACAAGGTTGTATCAGACGCGGATCGGCTGGATATCGAACTATCCTCACTCTGGTTAAGAGACCGACGGCTGCATGAGGGTCAACTCTACATTACACGAATCTGATGACCAATTTCCCCTATTTTCAAACGATCTGACTTTTTATAATGGTTTTATAATGGGTTCTGTTAAGTCCACTTCTGGCTTACATCACAGTCCATCATTCTTGTCAAGATTCTACACAATCTAAAGACTTTGGTTAAATGTTATTGCTGTCCAATCCTTTTGCCATATTAAGTGGTTTGCCCCACTCGATAAATCTTCAAGGATCCATTCAATGTGCAATTCCCCTTCTACGAGGTGTAGCTTGTGGAGGCTACTCATGCGGCATGAGTCATGCCGCCAAAAGACAAAGTAATCATGATGTATATATAAAAAAAGGAAATCTCCACTTACATTTACGAAATCAAAGGAGTAACATAGAGCTAAGATCCAATAGTATCAAAATGGAACTTATGTCCTAATAGATTGGAGATATCTCTATATCTAGTTATAGAGATATCAACAATACAAATACTATTTTAGTATGTGTATCAATTTCCATGGTTACTATCTTATGAATGTCAGTGGCTAGTGTTTTATGCAGAGCAGTTAATACAATTGCATTCATTGATTGGAAAAATTATACATTTAGACAAACAAAATGATATCTTGTCATGTTGTAGGTAGACTCCATCATTCTATCATGAACATATGAAAGTTGTTGTGCTATACTGTAAACTCAAATCTAATTTACTTAGCAAAGTCATCTTCAAAGCATGTGAAACATACATCTTCTGGTGCAAAAATCACCACATACCTCATGTCGACATAGATGAACATACTTCAAATTTCAACAAGCCTTATGATAACTTGTTGCATCTAGACTAATAAGGACGCAAATAAATAAATTTACAATGATTATTTTTCATTTAATTAATCGCAATCAGAAATTGATTAACTTATATCTTCTTCTAAAGATAAAAATTTTAAAGTCAAACGTCCATATTAATCAATCCAAACAGTAAAACATACCAATATATTTCTATGAAGATAATTTAAAATGTAAACATTTAAATGTTATATTTATGACTAAGTTTTGATTGAATTTGAAAATTCATTTTCTCATAATTAATTTTTTTTTCAGAATAGAAATTTTCTATCCAATATATTCAGAAATTTTAAAATTTTTTTGTCATGTAAATTGATTATAAGATGTGAATTGATTTTTGGTCCTAAGATGAGAAGAAAAATTATCTATCAGCAGAGGAATCTTGCAGCTTGCCGTTTTCAAGTCGCCACTCTGATTAATTGCCATTCTTGGAAACCTTTGGATAACATCTGATATTTTCTGATATTTTCTGAATAAAAATTGAAATTTTTTCAAATTTACGGTTGAAGTACAAGTAATGGACTAATGTTTACTATACGTGACCGATAAAAAAAGGTCTAAACTTGAATGATCCGTCTGCATTTGCGGTGAAGGAAATTTGATATACACATGAATTCTACCTTAGTTTGATAGGCAATTGTTTGATCAAACACCATATTGTATTGTTTCTGGAACTAAGAAAAATTGTCAACTAGGCCATTAAGATAAAAGTATGGTACGCGTTTAAAAATTAGATGTGCATAGATGTTTCATCCCTGTTGTAAACATTACACAGCTCGATAGACTTGTAAAGTTTAGATATCCCAATTTTAGTATAATTTCTGTCTATCAAAAATTTGTTAAGACTTCAATACTTATTGCGTACAGAATTTGTACAGTTAGACCTAAGATACTTTGAGTACTCAGTCTAATATGTCCAAACGTTCGCAAATTTACGACCCTTTTCTTGGATACTGCGACTTTCGCATTGATGATAACTATTGAAAAACTTTCTCAACATTTAATAATTGATGCAACAAGGTACTAGAAGCTTCATGCTTATTTGAGTATGCAAGGATTCAAGAGAGCACTCAGACTTGAATGTCTACAACAATCATTTGGAACTCTTCTTAGTTGTTTATGTTGATGGTATGTTGTTGATTGTGGAGGGAGTAAGAGCTCTGAAAAGCGTAAATCTCTGATTTATGCTCGGTTTTATATATGTCGGTACTTGGTCATATGAAGGTTCTTCTTGGCATCCACAATGACAGAAATAGGAAGGAAGTATAATGAAATGAGCCAAACCAATTACATTGAGGGATTGAGAGGATTTTACATAGTAGACGATGGAGGATGCAGAACCTTTCTCTGCCCCCTTGGAACATGGCTGCAGATCAAAGAAGGGGATCTCGATGAAACTAGCAGGAAAACGATTGAAGCCTCGCAGTTCCTATACCAGAGTGCTCTAGGCTCCCTCATGTTTGATATGGTCTGTACAAGACCAGGTATAGCTCACTCAGTGGAAGCTTTAGCCAGATACACTAAATTCCAACTCCATCACACTGGAGTAGTCCGAAGAGAGTACCACGGTACTTGAAAGGCCATTTGAGTACCACTCTTCGTATTTGGAATACAAAAAATACAAGCCCAATTCTAACGACTGGTTGCTTCATTAGGCACACCCCAAACAGCAGTATCACCCACAGAAGCTTCGTGGCCGATGCCTGTTCTACTTCAACTGCCAGCACTCCGAACGCGACGAAAACCAAATGTGGAATGCGTCTTGGCTGGCGAGCCATAAATGCCTCGCCTCGTATCCTACAGAGAGATGTGAGCTCAAAGTATGCACAACAAAATATACTTACTACCTAGCTGACTATCCTAGTACCTGCGGAAACTGGAATCGAAATCAGCCGCTGGAATGGAAACAACGCAACAAGGCGAAGGCAGAGAAGTCGATTCATGTGCAGACAACGCAGAGGGAAGGGAGGACAAGGGCGGCTGTCCAAAATGCTACCAGATGGACGCGTGAAGGCGTTTTGTCAGCCTTTTGAGTACATCCACTTCTTATTTCGTTGGACTTCCCGTCTGCTTTTCGGATCGTGGACTGGAAGGCACGTCCCCTCGAGAGCGTTGTGTCATGGATCTGGTCCAAAGCACCTGTCCACGTCTTGGGTCAAACACGGTTGTACGGATGATGATTGATCGAGAGCAGTATGTCGAGCTTTGTCATTTACGGCGGACTTGTTCTTCCGACGGATCGATTGACCGCCGCCTCTGCCGGCGTTGTATCTTCATCTGAAAACCTTCGTAGAAACTGGCTACGAGCACACAGGATTCGACTGGTGGACGTGTCCCGAGGCAGCAGGACGAGAGAACTTATATAACCTTTCTTGCTGAGCTTCAGTGGTTAGAAAATCCAGTGAGAGAATATATACTACCTTTCTTGCTGAGCTTCAGTAAATGGAAACTTCAGACGGGGAATTTATCCGACTTTTCTTGCTGAGTGTCAGTGCATAGAAAATTCAGACAGACCATTCAATCGGCGAAGAGGAGGGACGAATTTGTAGCGATGGCGGCCTCCACGCTTGGAATACCGGCGCCTGTGAGCACGAGTTATTGTGTTCCAAATTTGACAGAATTGAACTTCGTGGATAAGGCGTTGTCGTTTAGTGGTGCCAAGTTCACAATCAAAGATCCGCAGGGTAATCTCTTGTTTCAAGTGGAGGACCAGTGGCCCAGTCGCCAATCCAAGCATATCGTGTGCGATTCCAGCGAGAAAGCCCTTGTCGTGCTTACTAAGGAGGTACATCTTGCTCTTCCGATGCTTACAATGATCACAGAACGTTTCCTGGAGCGAATCACTCAATTCTCGTACGCATGAAGCAGCAAGGGGAAATTGATGAAGTTCAGTTTCTCCCTCTGTGACTGTACTATCCGCTCATCTAGGTCTCAATAGACCTCGGATCTCCAGGATCTAGCTCTATGGATGTTCACTCAATGTGACCTAGGAATCCTTTCGCGGGGTTTCACTATCTACATCTTGCTTCTCGTTCAAATATAATGGTTCAAACTCACCTGAACTTGGTGAAATCCGACAGGAGTCTAATTCACATAGATGTCTAACTCGTCTGCTGTGCTGCTGCTGCTGATGATGATCAGGAGAGAACGAGGCACGACACATGGGAAGCGACCCGTGCAAATGGTGACCAGGAAACAGTGTTTGTCATGAAGCTGTCAAGTTTGAATCCGCTACATACAAATTTCGATGTCTTCATGGGAAGAAACACTTCAACCAGCAGGCCCGAGTTCACTGTAAAAAGCGATATCAGGAAGTTCAATTACACCATTTGCCACAACGACGTGCCCATAGCCCAGGTGAGTGTGCCTCCGTTGATTCAGTCGGATCTCCGGCCTCCTTTTAGGGACAGGGCTGCATCCATTTCTCTCTGATCTATAATATTGCGGCCTTTCGTTGATGTCAGTAGAGTCAATTGTGTACGCGCTCAGCATTCTTGGAGGAAATCTCCGCAACCTCTCTTATGTACACCGATCACATATAAGTTATATGTGATCAACCATTCCTATATGATATAAGCGTCCCAGTAGTTCATGAACGAAAACAGTTACAAAACTTCTGACAGGAATAAAACCTTCTAGCATGGAAAAATCTAAACTGCAACGCAAGTGAATAGTAGGTTTATGTGATCAACGAGCTCAAGTACATTTCATGTTTCTTGGTGCTGCAGGCTACTCGAAGGTTAAAATTTGGGAAGAATCAATACATAGCGATAATTAAGCCTGGAGTAGACATAGCTTTCATCGCCATGTTGGTGGTGATTATTATGGTAAATTGATCTCATAGGCATATTTTAGCAGATGTTAGTAGTTTTCAGTAGACTGTAAATCTACTGAAATTTAGAATGAATTGGTTATGAATTACGTTATGTTATTAATGAGTTATTTTTTATAAGGTTTATCTCGAGGCCCCAGTAGTTCTAAACTGCCATTATTTAGGGTTTGCATTCAACCCCACTCAACAACATGTCGGTATAAAAATCTTGGAGTGATAAGAAACCTGAGTTTCAGGTTATTTACCACTCCAAGCTTAGGTTATAGTCTATGCTAATATCCCAAATGAGCACAAGGAGTAAACTTGGATTGAAGTCTAAGGAATTGTATCCACTGTATATGAAGAAGGTTCGATGGGATACTTGCTTAACAGTCCAAGTATTAGCCTTACAATTCCATGTTGCTTGATGAGTAAAGTATTAGGAGAACAAAGAGGAGAGAATCATCATGCAAGGAGTAAATGTTCTTCTGTTTTGATATTTAAAGTGAAATATCTACTTGGTGGAAGGAGGATATGACAATATATCAAGATGAGGTCTTGTAGCTTTTGGCACATATTTATGCCAATATTATTTATTTGTATCATAATTTGTTAGAAAATCGACTAATATACTTGGAGATATAAACATATTAATTTGTTTCTATTGATCCAAGTGGCATTAATGGATCAATGGAAATAAGTTGTGTACATTAATGGATGATTTGAATAGTATATGGTATAGAGCTTCGTATAAACCTCAGATTTTAATGAATAAGTTGAAGCTTTTGAACAAAGCACCCACCGGTATATAATGCAAGAACATCATCTTTGATAAAAGTGAAATGGTTGGATAGCTAAAAGGGTTAAAGAAATTGAATGAAATTCAAGATTGAATGAAGAAATTGAAATATCATTATTATTTATTACATAAAATTAATATAAAGATTACTAAAAATAAAAATATAATTTTATTCTATAATTTTATTGATCCGTGTGTTTGATAGATATTACATATATGTGTGTTAGTTATAAACTACATGTCAATAATTCTATGTTCATTAGAAATACACTTTTTATTATCTCTGAAAGTTGAAATTTATCATCTATTTGTTTGAAGAATTTATGCAAAAAAAATATTAATCATTGGAAGTATCTTGTGTTTAGACTTACTTGTCATCTTTGAATGAAAGCGGCCGAGCTTAAAAAAAAATTGAGTTTTTTTATTATGTGATTCTAAATGAATGTGAAATTCTTGACTTCTACTTTTTGTGAAGAGTTTCAAAGGAGGATGGTTAATGATATACTCGTTGTCCGGTGATAACATAAAGTCTATAGCAAGAATTAACACTCTAATTTTTTTATTCAAATTGCATATTTTTTTGTTAGTTGTTTTTATTGTTGGTGGTTTTGCCGGTATAAAAGTTTTGTGCTAAGGATATTTTGTCTCGGCTTTAGCTCTATATTTGACATATAAATGGAAAAAAATTGACAGAAAAACACAAAGTAAAAAAGACAAACAAAGAGAAGACATTAATTTTTCTCAACTTTTGCTTGCTTTGCCGATGATCACAAATATTTCATACTTGTTAAACAAAAGATAGTCGAATAATCCTCCTAAAGAAAGGAGATTTTTGAACACAATATTCAAAGACGAGGCACGGACTCAAAGGTTTCTTAGTAATAAACGGAAGTGAATCCAAGCCAACCAATACTTTTTTTTGACAACTAATGTTATAATGATATTGAAGGTACTTTGCTCTTTACCTGAATGTACTTTAACCTCTACACTGCAAGCCATTATATAATGACCAATCACTATATAAAATGGTGATATTGATTTTAGTGTATATACACCCAACACACACCTACGCAGTGTAAACCGCACACATCCAAGTATACACCCAAGTAACTGCGCAGCAGGGGTGTGTGGTATTTCTTGGGTGTATATCATTAAAACTGCATGGGTGTGTGTTGGGTGTATATACACTAAAATCACTACAGTCATATGAAATTCATTGATTTGCATGTAGAGAAATGAAGAAAATGAAATTTGTGATTTGTCAGTATGAATGTGATCTGAAGAAATCCAATATTACAATGATCTATCTATTTTTTCTTTTTTTATTCTAAAACAAGCACCTTAGAGTTCAAACGTTTCATACGTTTGAGTACTTTTCTTGCCGGACACGCCTATAAAAGTTAACAAAGAAACAAGGGGAATATTTGATCTTTGCATCTGATTAGACAGTAGAGTCTCGAAGAAATTCAAAAGAGATTATTACTTGATATATAGCTTTTTGTGCTACGTTCTGTCATGCTCTGTTCAAGAATTCAATAAGCTCATAAACATAGACAAAGTGCCATTTGATGATTAATTAAAAAAAAAGGTGAGGGATATAGAAAGAAAATAAAATTACATGCATAGTCCAAGATGGCCAAATACTTAGGTGCATTAGTAATATATTCAAGCATCAAAAGTGTGGAAATTTCAAACAAGATCTTGAATGTCAAACAAATAAGACTTTGATCTCATCTTTTTTATTTGAATGATTGATGTATTTGATTTGTGAATTTTGACTTTCATTTAGTTTTTCTTCAAATGACTTTTCACTAGCTCATCATGATTCTGGAAGGTAAGTTTTTTTAATGTGCTCCCGTTCTAAACACGTTCTTGCACAAATTTTTCACTCATCACTCTAATCAATCACACATTTATATTCACGATGATAGTATAATGTAATATTATTTTGATGAAACAAATCATCACACAATAAAATATCAAAATTTGCTTTAGATATTATTTTTTATTAATTTACTTTGACATGTTGAAACATTATAATCAACTTTAATGGTTATCCAATTTACAAAAATGAACTACGGTTAGTTTGATTTCTTCTCAATATATGATAATTGTGGTAACCCACTTTTTGTTTTTTGTCGGAACTAAAACATATTTGAATAGTAAGTACCGCGGCAGCAGCTGTAAATAGTAATCGGTACGCGAAACCAGAGGATCGAGGACAGTCAAGGGGTTTTTGGGCTTAGGCCACAGTGGGCCGCTTGGGACGGAACGGGCGGTTCATGCTGCAGGATCCGCTTCGAGCACCTTCGGCGGTTGATCACTCATAACTTTCTCAATTCGTAACGCCTTGAGTTGCTTCGGGTCTTGTTGCAAAGAGCTCGCAACGCTCGTTCTAACGAGACTAAGAACTTGTGAAACGGATGAGAGGTCACTGAGTTATGAGTGCCGGAAGTTACTGATGGGGGGGGCCTTCGGCGGTAGAGCGACTTTGGCGGTACGCCTTCGGCGGAAGAACCGCCGGAAGATGCGCCTTGGGCGGTAGACGCCTTCGGTCAACGCCTTCGGGTCAACGCCTTCGGCGATACGGGAGAGTGCATTCGGCGGAAGAGTGAAACCCTCATAACTTTCTCAATCCGCAACGCCTCGACTTGGTTAGGGTCTCGTTGGAAAGAGCTCAACGCGCTGATTCTAACGAGCCCAAGAACGCCACGAACGGAGGAGAATTCCGGGAGTTATGAAGGTCGCAAGATACTCAGCTTTCCGCCTGTGCACAGGCGAAGAAAGTTTTGTCCTATGCGCGGACGAAGGAAGTTCGCCTGTGCACAGGCCACCTCCACACGTGCCGCCTGTGCACAGGCGCTTCGGCGTCGGCGGGAAATCCGCCTTGGGCCCTAGAAATGCGCCTTGTGAGGTAGAAAGTGTACGGCGCCTTCTGCGCCAGCTCAACGCCGCGGACGGACAAGTCAGCGCAGCGGACGGACAGCTCAGCGCCGCAGACAACCAGGTCATCGCCGCGGACGGACTGTGGATAGGCGAACGCCTTCGGCGGAAGAGTAAAACCGACATTACTTTCTCAATTCTTAGCGGTTTGACTTGATTCGGGTCTCGTTGGAAAGAACTCGACGAGCTGGTTCCAACGAGACCAAGATCTCTTGAAACGGATGAGGCATCACCGAGTTAGAAGCGTCGGAAGTTTCTGATATGGAGGGCCTTCGGTGCTAACATTTAGAGGGGCCTTCGGCGTTAACACTTAGAGAGGCGGCTTACGCCGCGGACGGACACGGACGGCCTGTGCACAGGCGGGTTGCAAGTAGGCGGCCTGTGCACAGGCAGGCCTTCGGCGGAAGGGTAAAATTGACATAGTGTTTTCAATTCTTAATGGTTTGCGGTGGTTAGGGTCTCGTTGGAAAGAGCTCGCGACGCTCGTTCCAACGAGCCCAAGAACGCCTGAGACGGATGGGAATTTAGGGAGTTAGGACTATCGGAAGATACGTAGACGTTCTCCTTCGGCCCTAGATGTTCGCCTTCGGGGTTACGCTTCCGGGAATTCCGCCTTCGGAGGTAGGGAGATCGACTTTTGTCCGATGCGCGGACGGACGCCTTCGACGGTTGCAGGCCTTCGGCGGAAGAGTAAAACAGTGATAACTTTCTCAATTCTTATCCGTTTGACTTGGTTAGGGGCTCGTTGGAAAGAGCACAACACGCTCGTTCCAACGAGCCCAAGAACGTTGCAAACGAAGCAGGGATCCGTGAGTTATGGGCGTCGGGGTGACTGTTAGAGATTGACAAGGTGTGGAAGTGCGTCTTTGGCGGTTGGACGCATTCGGCGGTGCGCGGAAGGAGATTTCCTCCGGCGAGGATCGGGTGGTCATGAATGTAGAATGTTCAGGTGTGGCAGTGGCGGCCTGCGAGTAGGCGGCTTGCGTGTAGGACGCGTGGAACCCACAGTCCTCGGATTTTGGAGAAGGAATTTTGGCCTAGGTTCAGAGATCTTGCGGGGCCCATATCTTTGCGATGGACGGTCGGATGGATCTGAAATTTTGTGGGGCCGTTGATCTCGGCCGGCCACGCATGCCTGCAAATTTTCAGCCTCAGATCTTGGATGGTAAGGCGCTGGCGGCTCTGTACATTAGGCTTAGGATTCAGATTTAGGGTTAGGGTTAGATTTAGGTTGTAAGTTAGAGGGGAAGGCAGCCGCCGACTCCTCAGGTGTAGGTTCTGTTGCGGCTCGCACCATGGCGTGGTGCAGTGTAGTGCTAGTTAGGACTTAGAAGGTATAAAATAGTTCCAGGCGTTTTGCCTGGGGTTCTTTCCCAAACTCAGAAGTATAGATCAGGAACCCATTTCCTTTGCGTGTTTGTGTCCTTGAGTTCTGTCACCACGCACGAGGAGTTACAACTTAGCGTTCCGCATTTTGTAGCTGAAGGCCTTCGGCCGAATGTTCAGAGCTAGTACATTGGTTAGAGACTTGAGTAGTTCGGATCTGCACCTGCGGGTGACTGCCGATGCTCAGAGCCAGTGACTAGTTAGATACTTGAACAGTTTCGCCCCTACACCTTCGAGTGTTTCTTTCTGATTGTACTCCTTGGGATTTTTCCCCTGAATGCCAAAGTGAAGTTTTTGCTACTTCGTGTAAACCTTGGTTGTAAATTCAGGTTACGCTGCAGCAGGTGCCTTGAGGGTAACCCCTGTAGTATTTCTGGGAATGACAAGTGCCTGAGAATTCAAACTCTTCAAT